AAATCGACCGCCAGGTGTACGTGGACGAGATGGGCGGGATCCTGAGAGAGAACAGGGAGAAGAGGAACGCCTTGAGGATTGGCAACGACTGTCTGCGCTTTATGACGCAGCGCCAACGGAATGTGGGTGCCTTTGTGTGGCTGTTTGTTGGTTTGTGTGTCTGTTTGTTTGTTTGTTTGTGTGTCTGTTTGTTTGGTCAGTCTGTGCTGTGTCATATGACGCAGTGGCAACGGAATGTGGGTGCCTTTGTGTGGCTGTCTGTTGGTTTGTTTGTATGTGTTTCTGTTTATTTGTGTTTGTTTTGTCTGTTTGTTTGTTTGTTTGTTTGTGTATTTGTTGGTTTGTTTGTTTTTGTGTCAGTTTGTTTGGTCAATCTATGCTTTGTCATAGGGCACAGTGAGAGCGGAATGTGGGTGCCTTTGTGTGTCTGTTTGTTTGTGTGTTTGTTTGTTTGTCTGTTTGTTTGTTTGTTTGTGTATTTGTTGGTTTGTTTGTTTGTGTGTCTGTTTGTTTGGTCAGTTTATGCTATGTCATAGGGCACAGCGACAGCGGAATGTGGGTGCCTTTGTGTGTCTGTCTGTTTGACCTACTGTCTTTTCACCCCGAGTACATAATAGATCTATCGATCGATTCTCTATTCCGCTGTCGTGGTTGTTAACTCTAGAACTACGAAGATGTGGAAAACTTACTTGTTTACAATGGCGTCTTAGAAGACGGACTTTCCCAAAATTATATCTAAACGAAACTAATGAAAAACTGAAAATTAAACTACATTGACTTCAGACTCCTCAGTAAAACTGTGCACCCTTTAAATGATTCTGAACCACCATTAATTTTGTCAAAATCGAAAGTTAAGTGGTTCGGAAGTTTTAGGCAGCCAAAGTGACGAACGTTCACAAATATAATATAGTGAGACGAGCTGTCAAAACGAGTTACTTCTTGCACTTCACAAATGGAGATATCCGAAGAAAATCAACAATGGAGTAAATTTGTAGACTCCCAACTGATGTCATTTTCTTCAAGTTTACCATGTCTTTTATTATTTCCAACCGATAAATTGTAAAATCTCAGTCCATGAATTCAACATATATATCTATTTCTACAGGGCTAAGATTTGAGAAGTAACTCTTTTTCTTAGCACATCTCACATAACATGTAGATTCTATCCTGACTGCCCCCAGCTGTCCAAGTTCATCAACGCGCGAATCTTCGCCGAGCGTCCCAGCCAGGAGAGGCTGCCTATGGTCAGATGTGACTTGCAGGTACAACTGGGACTTAGAGAGGACTTTTACGTCGTTCTAGGGTTCTTTCTTTCTTTTTTCTTTCTTTCTTTCTTTCTTTCATTCTTTCTTTCTTTCTTTCTCTCTGTCTTTCTTTTTGTCTGTCTTTCTTTCTTTCTGTCTTTCTTTCTGTCTTTCTTTCTTTCTTTCTTTCTGTTTTCATTTCTTTCTTTCTTTCCTTCTTTCTTTCTTTCTTCCTATCTTTCTCTCTTTCTGTCTAGGGTAGTCCGCCCACTACAGGATGTATCCCTCCAACAACGACCTCCACTCTCTTCTATCAGCTGTTTGTTTCTGTGTCCACGTTGTACCTGCCTGCTCTCTGGTGTTATCATCATCGTCATCATCATTGTCCTAAATCATCATCGTCATCTTAAATCAAAAAATCATCATCATCATCATCATCATCATCATCATCATCATCATCATCATCATCAT